GCAACTACATCATGTCCTAATCACCTCTTCCCAATACTTCTTTGGCCTACATCTACCTCTCCTGAAACCATCAATACCCAACCACTCACAACACTCCGCACTGGAGCGTGCATCCATACATCTCCTCTTCACATGCCCAAACCATCTCAGTCTCGCTTCCTACATCTTGTCCTCCACCAAGGTCACTCCAACCTTGCCTTGGATATTTTAATTTCTAATCCTATCTCTCCTAGTATGCTCACACACATACACCACAACATCGTCATTTCTGCAACTTACATTTTAAATATAAGAATTCTTGACTGGACAACACTCCACCTCATGCAACATAGTTGGTCTAACCACCACTTTGTAGACTAAGAAAACCATTGAAAAGAAAACATAAATTCTACATTAAATGTTAGAAAAGCTAGATGTCAGTCTCTAATGGACATATTTTGAATATTTTTGCATGTTAACCACAAAATACAAGAAACTATCACAACTGATAAGGTCACAGATATAGGTTCCTTGACGAAGACCGAAGTTGGCATCAACCACTGTCTATTGTTTCTTAAACGTTACCAACACATAACTTCCTCAAAGTTTACCAAAAAAAATAATTTATGCACCCTTCTACGGAAAAACCTAGAGAAGAGGTTCAACCTCAATTAGTATTTCATACAAGGCAAAAGCTTGAAGATCTTACAAGTTCAACCTTGAACATCACCAATACACAACTTTCTCGAGTTTTCCCAAAAATACTACAAAATTCTCCTAGCCAACAATGGACCGACAAAGATGCTCTAATTTGGATTAGTAAGCAAAGACTTGAACCAAGAGGATGTCGTGACTTTTGAAATAACAAAATTGCTCAAAGAACTTTGTATCATAGACATATATTCAAACCAACATAAGGAATAGATCCCATGTACCATCCGCACAACACATTCAACAGAGCCAAATCAGCAATAAAACAACATTTTGTAGAGAAAACCTCACGTGGTGACAACCAACAGGAAAATATTCAATAAAAGCGGAGCTTAAATGATAAACACCATTCACCTCCAACCCTAACGCTGTAGTACGAGTCACCAAAGGAGCACCTCGAACCCTAACGTTGTAGTCTGAGTCACCAAGCCAAAAAAGGTGGGAGCTCCTAGGAAGGGTAAAAAAAATTACTGCTAGAAAATTTTCACGACCTAAATTTACCAAACCTTCAAACAACCAAACAAAAATTAAACCAAGCCAAAAATTCCAACCCTAGACATACAAAATACATATACAAGAAACAACTGCGAACACAACAACACAAGATGATCATCCGCAACAACCGACGAACAGATACACATCACCAAAATCTAATCAAATCATTCAAGAAAAAACAGATAAACGCAAATAAAAGATACGAAAAAACAACAAAGGCGACTGTAGGCAGGCAAAGATGCTAGCGATCAGTCAATGGATCAGTGATCGTATAGAGAAAAGATAAAAGAGAAAGAGAAAGGGATTGACCTTCGGAATAGCGATCGAACAGCGAGATTCAAACCCTAAATTTCGCCGAGAAAACGAAGAAAGATCGATGAAAGATTACAAGGGAATCTCCTTCTCTCTGAGAAAAATTGAGAAAATAGAGAGAGAATGAAAAATAGGTCTACTGTCGTTCAATATATATATGTGTGAGCGAGAGGGAAGAGGCCGGTTATTTGGTCACTTAATAGTCGGTCCCTCAAGTTTTGAGAAATAGTACTTTGGCCCTTAAAAAATAAACGGAAAAGTTACCCTTATCAAATTTTATCCCTCTTACTAATTTCATCAAATTTATCTCTCATTAAACGGATTGACTCAAATTAATCCAATTTTTTTTATTAAAAATTTTATTTTTTAACCAAATAACCTGATTCTATTTAAAATAATCAATCCATTCTTGCAAATCTCCTATACCCATTTACTCATTCTCCGGAATCTCCATTAAACATATAAAAGACATCATTTTAACACTGTGGATTAAGTGAAACATCATACCAAGGATGTAGGGGCGAGCCTTCTAGGTTCCGATTTACTTCTTGTTAGCATGTCTTTTATAGATGTTCAGGGTCCCATCCTTCGTGTAGTCATCATTACTGTCCATTCAACTTTATCAAAACAATGCAGAGGTCAATTTTAACATTGGAGATTTTTGACATCTCTAATGTTACACATTTTCTTCTTTTATACATTAGAGATTTTTGAAATCTAAACAAGAACAACAATTATATGGGAAAAGGAGATTTGGGAGAATGAGGCGGTGTTGGATTATTGGGTTAAAATAAGGAATATAATTTTATTTTTAAAATTTGGGTTAATTTGGGTTAATGAGGGATAAATTTGGTGAAATTAGTAACGGGAGGGGGTAAAATTAATTTTAATTTAACGGCGATGGGTAAAATTAACTTTATTTTAACGGCGAGGGTAAATTTAAACAATAAATCAAAGTTGGAGGGTATTTTTGACCCTTTTCCCAAAAATTAATCTATCGTAAATTAATGGAAATGGCTTAGAATCAACCCAAATTTTCTCGAAAAGTCGAATGCTCTCTCAAATTGGTTACATATTCATATATTACTTAAAAGTGAATTTATTTCCGCCCTAAAAATTGATAGGTCATAACAATTAAAAGTAAAATTTTAAAAAACGTGTAGAAGATTCAACTTTTTTTTAAATAAAAAAAGCATCAACTAGTTTTCCATAGACGATCGTTCCAGCTTCAAGTCTTTTTTTTTCTTCATGTCATTTGTTTTTTTTTCTCCTTCTATTATCTAACCAAAATCACCTTCGTTTTTTTCAATTTGGTAGTTGATGCTGGTGTTATTGATGACGCAAGAATGTGCGGTGATTGATAATGCGTTTTGCCGTATTTATCAATGTTTTTAACTATGATAATATAAGTTGTTGGTGGTAGAAATTGATCATAATGACTAATAGTAATGGTGGAGGTGGGGGCAGTCATGGTGATGAATGAAGAATGTATGGTGGTAGTTAATTAGCGGCGATGCAAGTTATGATGGCAGATAGTTTGTTGGTAGTGGGAAATTGACTGTAGTTTGGTAGTTTGTGGAGGTGATAGTGGCTACAGAATTAAGAGTGATGATGGTAATTGATATAATTATAATGATAAAAGAGATAAGTGTGATAGTAGCTGATAGCAGTGATTAGCAACGATGGTAATTATGATAACATAGGTGATTGACGGTATAATAGTGGTGATGTATGGTAGTATTGAGATTGAAGTGTTGGTTTGTGGTGGTAACTAGTTATTGTGGATAGACTAATATATGGTGAATATTATTCACATAAGAATACCTTTTAATGTTATTAAGATTATATTCTAAATCTTAATTAACGATTAAAACTTATTTAGACCAATTAAATGCTTCAAATCTTTATGAAAATAAATGCACAAAATAATCTAAATGCCCAAGCGATTGAACCATTTAAACTCAAAAAATAAATTATATGGTTATTAGTTATTACAAATGTTAAATGCAGCCATTAAAATATTAAAAGTAGTGGCTATTTCATGTGTCTTAAAATATTATTCCTTCTGTTCGTTCTTATTTATTTATATTTATTTTGAGATAGCTAATAATATATGATTACGAAAAATATCAATAGTTAATTAAATTACATAACCTTTTAGCCAAATAAATATCGAAAATTGAGTAATGGTATCATTTTCTTGAATGAAACAATCTTATATATGTAGGTAAAGTATTTTTTATAATTACCTTTTATTACTTGCGACTGATGTGAAGTGTTAAATAATGATACACACCTTATATCCTAAAGAAATTGAGAACATATTTGTATTTAACGCTCACAAAACAATAATTAGGCTTATTAGCATAAGAAATTTTTTGATAAACTTTACGTTTCTTTATCTTCATCATATTCTTGATTCTATAATCAAAGAGGTGAAAATTAAAAGTTTAGTTTTCTATTGAAATTATTACAATAATTGCTTAATCTTTAATTTTATTTCATTGTGGTAGATTTCAACAATCAATAATGTTTTAAAGGCTTTGATTTCATATAGTAATATATATTTGGTTCACAAATGCTTTTACATTGTTCCCATTATCTCAAAAGATTGCTATTTTTATTAAATATTTATTTTGATGATTTTTTTATTTTAAATTTTTTTAAAAGATCACCTAAATTAATATCAATCTCATTAACTAATTAGTATATATATTTAGCTGTTGTTGCTCACTCAAGATTTAATGCACAATAAAATGAGATCTTCTCAACGAAAAAGGATGTTTTCACTTTTATAACACAAAAACCAAGTGATTAAGGATAAATTTAGAAAAATAAAGTTAATTCCTTCTTAATTATGTTTTTTAAAAAATATTTATTTTGGAGTAAAATAAAATAGATCAAAAGATCACTTAGTAAATGAGGAATAACATATACTATTAGTTATTTTCTCCTTTTTCCCTTTTCATGTACTTAATAGGGGTGGATATAAATCACTAAAAAATGAATTATATTTTAAATTTATTGTATTGAAGTTTTAATTTACTATATCAGATCGAATTTTAAATGTTTGGTATTTAATATCTACTTTTAATTATCAAAATTGAATTTTGAGAATACTGAATGTTCGCTCCTAAAAATTATATGTCTGCCTTATGTTTGTAATGACAATAATCAAACTGATTTATAGTATAGATCTAAACTTTAAATATGATTATTCTAAAATCAACATTTCATATATCAATTCAATTCGAACTCTCTTGTTGAAGATACTAATTCATTTACAATATTATGTCTTGCATAAGACTCAAACCTATACAATTTACATGCTCATACTTACATGAAAAACTATCAATTATAATAATTAACTACTTATATTGACTCTAAAAATTCTATAAATGTCAAATAAATTGAGTCAAAAGAGTAATAATATTATTTAAAAATTACACAATATTATAAATTTAAAATATATATATTTTTTTAAAATGGATGATTCAAATATGTGACACATAATGACAAAGGTTGAGTTTCATGTGAAATTGTGCAATGCCTCGATACAAAGACGAGCCTCCTGCAGTCCGTGTTTACACTGTTTGCGATGAATCCAAGTTCGTTTTCATCAAACCCTAGTTTTATCTCCGTCTTCTAAATTACGAATTCAAATTTATTTGATGATTTAGGTTTTTTTACGAACGTTTTTGCAGATATTTGATTGTGAGGAATGTTCCGGCGTTGGGTTGTGGTGATCAGCTCTCTCAACTATTCTCCACTTACGGAGAAATTGAAGAGTATGATTTTTCTCCTAATTATGAGTTTCTTCAAAAAATTATGAAATAATGTATTACTTAGTTGCTAATTTATCCTTGTAGTTATTTCGAATTTGTTATATTGTAAAATCATCATTCGCTTTGTTTTCTCGTGTGCCAAGTTAATATTGAATAATTAAATATGGATGAAGCTAAGTATTTCTTTTTTGATTTTAAAAAGTTTTTTTTTTTTTTTGTATTAAATGTGCAGCACCTTCTGGTGCTGAGGGGAATTTACTAGGGGTAGCTTCATTACATATAAGTGTAATGAGCTCAAAATTTCTACCATGACCTCAGTATCACTTGCAATTGTCATGTTACACCAAAAAACAGTTAGGATATACATCTTTACTAAGTACTAACTACAAATTCTGACCACCAAAGGTTGAACTAGGGTCTTGAGTTCGAGTCCAATGTATTGTGAGTTGCCTTTGGTAGGGAGCGATTTACCCTCTATGTGGGACTTCTCGATGTGAATCTGAATTAGTTAGGCTCCAAAACGGATACTGGTCACTAGGTGAGAAACCTAAAAACAAAACTCTAGATTTTGATTTGCTTATAAAAATCCTGGCATTCCTTTCCTTTGAAATGGTCCACCATATTGCTGAAGGTTAGAGTATTCCATGTTTGCAGATTTGTCTTCCCTAGACCTTATGCAACTAATTGGAGATGTACTCCTATTTTAAAACCTTTTGGCTTGTTTTTATCTTTATGTACATAACTCAAGTTGATTGTGCCTTTTTTGTTTCTAAAGAGCATGTCATGTAAAATTTTACAAAGATGTTAGCTCAGCTGATTCCATCTAAAACTTAGATCAATTTTTCTATAATGGAGAATTGAAGGTTATAAATGGAGGGTCTAAGAACAAAAATGAGAAATCCTTTTCAAAATGAAAGAGTTGAAAAAGAAGTACACACAAAGATAATAGTGGGACTAATACTGCATTTTGTTCTTTGTTCTCTATTTTGTTGTTTCACTTGGGCTGAGGGGGGATGGCAGAGGGATACCTTTTTTATCTGCTCGCTGAACTTATATGCTCCTTGCATCTTGTAATTGTTAGTCTTTTTCTTTACAAATAAACTCAGGATGGTGATTGTACTTAGCGCTGCACAACTTAAAGATGAAGTTGATAGTGTCAATAATGTCTTGATTGTCTTCTAGTGTGTTGCCTTCATTATTACCGTTCTTCTGGTTTTTTAGATGTAAACCAATGGATGATGAAGATTGTGAGCCATTTACAGATGTCTTCTGGATCAGGTTTTGCCGGGTTGACAATGCCAGGTGATTACAATGTTCAGATCATAACCGTTATATCTAGAGATGTTAATGAATATTGGTATTTTCTTCTTAGTGCAGTGAAAGATCTCATTAAACTGCTATGGGATAGGGCAAGATTGTGTATTGCAAAAGGACTCCAATACCCTTATAACACAATAGAATTTTTGTGAAGGAACTGGTCCAGCATAGCATTATTTTCTGGACGATGGTTTCCATGCAATTCTCCATATATATGCACATTTGTTTTTATATTGCATCATGAGTTATACTTATTGCTTACATATTCGATATCCAGATTTGCGAAAAGGAAGCTGGACGAGTCTGTTTTCCTAGGAAAAAAGCTACAGGTCTCTTATGCACCTCAATTTGAGAGTCTGCACGAGACGAAGGAGAAGTTAGAAGCAAGGAGAAAGGAAGTTCTAGCACGATTAAACCGTAAGTACCTTGTTGCAAAGTTAGAAATTACCTTGTCCAACGAGAAAAATTCTGCCTTTATCTTGTAGACCCCTTGTTCTTATTTCGGAGTTGATGCCTTTTCAGCTGGAAGGTCTAAAGGATCTGCCACATATCGGCCAGATATGATTGGTGAGCCCTCGATAACTTCCTCTCCAGCCCAGTTGAATTCTACCGCACAATCAATTGGCTCTAATCATAGGTAGTTAAATAAGATGCTCTGAATTGACTTTTGAATTTTATTTATCAAAATAAAGTAAAAACATTTTCACTGTAGGCAGATCTCGAGTTCTCCGGGTAATTCTGTTCATGAGATGCAGTGTTCTCCCATGACAATGGGTTCTTCAGACAAGGTTAGTCATAGGTAACAAAAGTATTGCATTTATGCCTCATATGATTTTGACTTTTGGCAACTGATATTAGCATTATCATCAGATTCCACAGTCATATTATGAAGCAGGGGGTTGGTTGCCAGATAATCATTTATCTGCAATGTTGAGTGCCTGACGGTTATAAATGTTATCTATAAATTTTTGGCAGATCTCCTTAGGTTGTGAAACTAGGATACATTATTTTTTGGTAAACTAGGAGACTTGGCATCCCTTTGTTCGCTTGTCATTGGTGGATTAGCAAAGGCAAGAAGAATGCTGAAAGGGAGAAAAATCAATTTTGTGCTGTGTTCTTGGCAAATTGGAAGCTGTAGACAGATTTCAAGGGGTAGAATTTTCTGGCAAGGATTGCAATGACTTCAAATAAACATAAAAGATTTCTGTGTATATTTTTTTTAATGCTAGATGGAGATTACCTCTAAATGAGATCAGTAATGAGTGCTGGGATTGCAAAAAATTAGGAGCTTTCATTGGTTGATCTGAACTCACGCCCGTGAGTTAAGCCGTGGGGCTCACAGAGTTGGTTGGTATCATGGAGAGGACTCAGGATTATCTAGATTGGATTATGTGGTTGCGCATTATATGGGTAAGCCCAATGGTCAATGAAGTGAGAGGAGAACCATATCTCAGGTTCAAATCTCAGCGTAGACAAAAACACTAGGTGATTTCTCCCATCTGTCTTAGCCTTTAGTAGACACAATTACCTGGTACCTGGTGGGAGATAGCACGTATCCCGTCGAGTTGGTAGTGTGCGCAAGCTAGGCTGACACCATGGTTATCAAAAAAGTATGGGTAAGCCTGCCTAGCTGGCTGGAGCTTGGATGCCATCATTTTGGGGTAAATTTAATGTTTTTTTAGCTAGTGAGGGTCATGAATGGTGCCAACTAATCTGGTTCCGCCTCACCTTCTTTTCTTCTATTCTCCCCTTCCAGTTCTTCTGCAACAAATTATCGGCAGAAAGGCTCAATTGGTAATTTACCTAAGAGATAATACATTTTCTGTTTAGTATTTGCTCCTTTCTCATTCTATTTATAGACATGAGGAGGAACAACAAGAGCCCTTAGAGAACAGAGGGGAATGAACCTAGAGATAAGAAATTCTCTTAAAAATGATTATTCCGTTCTTAAGTTCAGTCCGGCTACCACATTTTAAAGTTATAGTTGTAGAACCACTTTTTTACCTGGTTTCAACTTTTCTTTGCAACTCTTGTATGAAATTTATGTGCGTGAGTTTTGGTTACTGCATGCAAGTTCACGACATTTGGTTTTGATTTTCTGTAGAATGACTGTTTCTTCTCCTCATTGGTAATGATCTCAGGAATACTTTCCTTCACAGTCTATGAATCAAACTGTTAAGCTGGTCAGAGATAAACTAAATAAGGTAACAATTGTTGGTCTTTTGACTTGCAATCTTGGATTTTAGATGTGCTTATTTATTTTATTTGACGATTTATTCTGTTCTTCTTTAGATACAATCCAGTACGGACCATTTAGAAGAACCATCCAAGCGAAAACGAGTTGACAATAGGAGACGGATATAAATTACAATCCAGTGCGGACATTTAGAAGAACCATCCAAGCGAAAATGAGTCGACAATAGGAGACGGGTATAAACCCTATGCAGGTTTTGACAAGAGTATATGGCTATGGATTAGTGTTCCCCCAGAATATATGAAAATCTGTTTATAGTTTTTTTTCCATTCAGTAACATTACCTCTTCCTGGAAAATCATCCCTTGATGCTGAATCTGTAAACCAATACTTTTTATGGGTTCTAGTCCATGGTGTCCAGAATCTCTTCTGACTTCTTCACCAACTGGCCTCTAGGTATCAACAAAAATGACGTCTTTCTTATTTTAGCCCCCAAGTCTATCCAATTTCTTCGTTGTTTCTTCGATGTTATTTCATCACTATAATTGATAAATCCTATGTATACAGTTTTCAGAATTTTCCAAGCAAGTTAAAGATTGAAACCCAAGCTTATTATCACTATTCCTGAACTGCTTGATAAGGTCAATGGGTTTAAATTGCCTAGTTTGCTTTTCTGTCACCAGAAAATTCTGATTAGAATGTTCAACATTTAATGATCTAGTTGATAAAGCAGGGTACATGAATTGCGATAACTGTGGGATAGAGCAAAGTGACATTGCATCATTCATGTGTTTCATGTGTTTGGTCCTGTTATTTTTTTGTATTCACAGTTGCAGAAGGGTAATGCTGTTGTGTCTATGGATAAGTTCGACTTGGAAATGATTATATTGAGAGGGTACAGGGTGACGTATTTATGGATTGTTTCTCAGATGTTTTAGCATTCACAAAGAATCCTATGGTGAATCATAATTTAACTTCATTGAAGCATGTTGGATCTGGTGCTGCACCTTTAAGGAAGGAATTTGATGGATGAATGCATCCTTGCAGTGTTGTTGTTTACGGATATGGTATAACAGAAACCTGTGAGATTGTCTCATCGGTGAGAATCAATATGTAGGCTGCAGACATAGGATCATCAAGGACTCATAGTTCCAGGGAATGGAAGCTCAAATTGTCGAGAGTTGATAAACTGAAACCTCTTCCTCCTGGACAATTAGGGAAAATATGGGTGCACACAAGGCAATTCAACAATCCGTAGTGCAGATAAAGGGTACTTTGATGAGAAAGGAATGTCCTATGCATTAGTTTTGACAGATGCATAGAGCCCATCACATGCTAAGCTCGAAGGTCTGTGTTTTTCATCCTGAAATGTTAAATGCTGTTGTTGTACCAATTCCTGATGCTGCTAGTGAATGAGCTTAGTTAACAAGGAGACTCAAAGAAGTTAAAAAAAAATGTCATCTGGAATTCAAAGTTTTATGTATGTATAAAAGAAAATGTTTTACGCTATTTACATAGTATGTGTTCCTACTTCCTATCTGCCACTGCTAACATCGCGATGGTGACAATCACAAACAATGTTCCTACGTCCAACGAAAACTACAACTTTGGAATAGTTTACTCTTTGATCGTTAAATGTGCAGTTACATATACACACCATCCTTATATATTCCAATAGTAACAGAATTGAACTGATGATGAGAAAATGGGAAGAAACATGTCTAGTTTGTAACATAGAGTGAACAACCACGATGAGTTACAACTGTATAATTTAGGCAATGTAACAAGAGACCAATTACGTCACACAAGACTTCTTTTGGAGACTCAATTTAATCTTGATATAAGAAATTCAAAGATCTAACATTGCAAGATTAAATGAAAGCTGGGCAACGTTTCTCAGGTGGGGGTATAAAAGCAAGAAAGGCTATGCTGATTTCACCTCTTCAAAGATAAATTTCAACCAACCTATGAAAACACATGTAAACAGTGAAAAGGTTAATGCGAAAGAAATCCTTATGCAACCGAGTGTTGAGGAATTCTCTTCGCATAAGACACATTCCCCGTCCCCCCATGCTTTAGTCGTAGCAGAGCAGAAAATATGTTTGTTAATCCTCCTTGTTGCTAGCTAGTCTTGCCCGGTGTCTAAGTTCTGCTTTTTTCCACCTGACAATCAAGTAACATAGTGAAAAGAGGGTATTAACCTGCAAAGAAGAAAGGTGTAAAGCTAATAAGTGAGTGAAAAACAATAGAAATGAAGAAAACAAAGAGTGCAGAATGACCAAAGACACTCACCAAGATTATTATCGAAATAACCAACAGAGGCCCAGACCAGAGTGTGGAAAGAAAAATGCCATGTGAATCAAAGTAATTCTGGCGCGCAAAACTTTTCCAGTTCACAGCTAATATGCGATTAAGCCTCTCAGCACCATACACTCCTCCCACTGCATCATAAGGTAACTAAAAAAGTGAGGAAAGAGGGACATTCTAATACACTGCAACGGAAACGATCAAACTTCTAACATGCAAGCTAGAACGATGTCATCCCTTCAGTTTCACAACACAAAGCTACTAGCATACGGAACATAATTATTTGCTACTCAACAGCCTAAAAATTTATGCTTTAATTTTTCAATCTAAAAACTAAGACATATGTAGTCTGCTAAACCAAAAACATAGAAAACCATGAAGACAAAATAGAGTAGTGTCGAAAGTTAAGCTTTCTACCTAACATAAGTTATATGTGTTACTGTGAAAGGTGAAGCTAGCAATTCATGTAGAAAGTTTAGACAAGTTATTCTGTAACTGTATTATGTAATTGAGCTTTTGAAGTTTTCTACTGAGGATTATTCTTACGGAAAAGGGGCAAAAAATGGACAAAGTAACTTTTTAAAGGTACGTGACATTTTTGGAATCAGAAAACCAACTTTAGAATTTTTTTAATTCAGTAAATATAGGTTTGTTAATGAAAAGGGTAAATAATGCATCATTTGTTAGACGGCAGGGGTATATATATATGCACCACATGTTTAACAAGGGGGTATATTTGCTCTAAATTGCAAAGTTGAAGGGTATATTTATCCCTTTTCACTTCTCACTTCATGGAGACAAAATTATCCTACTTCTTGCAATTTGGCGGCAAGCACTTATAGGAAGAAATTGTTACAGGAGCAGGCATAACTATTTAGGCCGTTTATCACCTGAACTCTTCTGCAATTCTAGAAAATTATATCCAGCATGCTACACGAGTCAGAACAGCCTAGAATCAGTAACCACTTGTTCCTAAATCCTAATTCTTTAGTGGTCACAGATCTTTGGAACATGTTCCTTTCAGTTTTTGGAATTAATTGGCGTCTTTGGAAAGAGCGGAATTTTAGATTTTCTTATGGCATCTCAACTCCTAACAGTAGACTAGAATCCTTTTGCCTATTGAACCTCTTCACTTGGAGCAATCTTACACCCTGTAAATGATGTTATTCCCCTTTATTTCATGAGCTCTCTATCTGTGGTTTAAAAACCATACTTTTGCTTTCTGGTTAAACTCCCTGGTCTAGTAGAGGAAGTTGTTATATTAGGAGTTTGAACATGATTTATTATGTACTTACTTTGCATCTCCTGATGCCAATTTAATACAACACTTCACTTCATGAAAAATCAAGAAATATCAGAAACTGGGTAACTGTAAATAGCGGTGAACTTACATGCAAAAAGGAACAAAAACATCTGGAAATTGATGTTCTTCCGAGACACGATACATACTAGAAGAAACACGGCGTGAAATGAAAGAAGACCTACCAACCAAGGTTCCTGCATAAAGAAAGGAAAGTCATTAATAAGCAAACCAGGCAAATAAATTTGTCCTAGTCAAAATGCAAAACTCCCATGTTTGACAAGCTGAAATCACATCTTTTGTTAGCCACTGATACCTCTTAATCAAAATTTTTAATAATAACAAATATATTTTGGTAAGGGAATGAGAATACGTTATCTCCTTTAAACATTACAATTTCAATAAGCAAGCAAATGTTAACATAGAGCTCTAACTTCTTTCTAAAATTCTCCTAGTATTGCATTAGACAGCTGGCAGCATCAACCACGTGTCATATGATATCATTCCCCTTAAGGATCAAGTAGAGATCTTAGACCCTCTTTCTCATCTTTAGTTTCAAAAGTGGAGGACCAAAAGCAAATTCAAAAAGTGCGTAAAATTAAAAAAAACAAAGAGGCATAACATGATTGGAACTAAGGATCATATATCAGAGGAAGAGATAACAGGATTGTGACAGAGAGAAAGGAACATATAACCAACTCTGAGTGACTGTAGTACCGAGGTAGCAAAATACTACTTAAGCAAATTACAATTGAACCAACAGCCAAAGAATTTTTTTTAGAAGGTTTGCCCCTAGCATTAACACAGCACACCTTGCCAACAATTTGCATAGCCTGGCCTTTATCCAAGAAAAATCTTTAAACTACGGGAATCACATATGATGGGATTTTAAATATTCTACACCAACTATAGATCATCCTCTCATAATTAAAGAAAGAAAAGTGGAATTTAGAAAGATTTTTTATTTCAATACATAATTTTACGAGGATGGAAGAGTTCTACCTCTCTTCAACTGATAAGGCTCCTTAGTTGGTGTCCTTCTAACACTGATCCAATTTGATTGAATCGGTACTAATGTATTTATAAGTCGTGAGCTAAATGTTCTGCTGAAACGTACTACTTAAAAGTAAAAAACGACACTAGGCTTTAAGAGAAGGAAGAAATCGCCTTAATGTTTTTACGTGAACTGTGATACAATAAACTCCACCCCCAAAACCTCTGGCTAGAGTGGCTTCCCCATTTAATTCTTTTGGTAACTCTCATGGTTGGAAGTAGATGGAAATTTCCAATTCCACTAGGCTATCCCTCCCTTGACCCAAGAGAAATCATGTACGGTAACAGCAGAAACTTTACAGAAAAAATGCAAAACAGTACATGAACCAAGTCCAAAGCAGAGCAGGATAAGCCAGCAGAAAATTTCCCACATATAAGACTACATCATTTAGTTCTTAGAAAATATGGTTATCTACCAAAGTTTATGTAATTCTACAAGACATGAATATTAGAATGTACAACATTTCAATGTTACCATACGTTCTGCAATTAGATAATTGCCCTGACCTTCCGTTTTACCTATTAAAAGGCCATCCGCCCACGCCTACTTCTCCCAAAACAAAAGAACTACTATGAAGCATCAATCCCAAAAAAGATGGGATATGAATCCTCACTAACCGTGCTTCAATGGTTAACTCAACACACACACACACCTTCCTTCTCCAGCTGCCCCAAACATAACAACAACTACTAAGCCTCAATCCCAAACATGGGATATGAATCCTCACTAACCATTTAAGCTCAACACAACACAAACAAACAAACAAACAAACAAAGAAAAGAACAACACCACAATGACATACAACAGACATTGCTATAAATATCAATACCGGACAACACAAAAAATTGTAGAAACAGAGTACAAGGCACAACAAGATAAGTTAAAGTTAAAAAATTTCACAAAAATAATAACAGGGTCCTAACAAAATCTGATTTTTACCAAGTTCCTAGCTTTTGTAGAAGCTGGGAGAAAGGGGGGAAAAGAAGATAGAATTGACAATACCGTCCAGTCAATGGCGTGGAAGAATCCTATGAAGTTGTCATATGCTGGTCTAAGACTCGACCTCATCTCTGCAGAGAATTTCTCAACAAGATCTGCCATTTGGTCCATATGGGAATTCAAAGCACTGCTTAATTCCTCCATTTTCGCCTCACAAAATTCTTTACTGCTTTAAGATCAAGAAAGTGACGCCTCTCTATCTTCCGCAAATCTTGACACTAGCTCTGCTGCTTAACAGTATTCTACACTTCCTTTTACAATTGTGTGGAGCTTTCTCTTTTATTGCTAAATCACCCCCTCCAATTTTGGAAGTGTTAAATTGACCCCATATCTTATTTTATTATACTTTATTACCCCTTAGAACTAGGGTTGTGTATCGGTCGGTTCGGTTTGATTTGATTTTGAAGTTTATCAGTTTGGTTTATTGGTTATCGATTTGTAGAGATGCAAAACCATTAAGATATTGGCTTATCAGATATTGATTTATTGGATTTTTTACCGTTATCGATTTGGTTATCGATTTAACACAAAAAAAAAATATTGAAAATCACTTAGAAACAAGGTGATAAACCAAATGAATCATGCACATGAGTTCACAAGTTACATCTTGCTCAAAAATAAATATTTTTGTATTTTAGAATAACCAAGTGTTTGAGACAACACAAAATAAAAGTAGGAAATCAAACTTTAAGTCAAGGACTTTATATGATATAAATATAATTATTTAATTTATTATCGGATTATCGGTTAACTCGTCAAGAAAAAAATCTCAAACTGTTAAGAACTGATAACCCGATAAAAAAATCAAAACCATTATTATAATCGTTAAATCAACAATCAAATACTAATAAATCAATAACATTATTTCGATTCGAATTATTCATTTTAAACAAACTCACTTAGAATAGTTTCTCCATATAAAGGTAGGGTTAACTTTACATACTGTTATTGATTTCATCTTTGTAATAGTTTGTTTTAAGGGACTAGGTAAGTTGTCCCTATTTAAATTTTGAATTAAATTTATTCTATGTTAAATTAGAGATAGTAGTTATAACGATATTATTTTTATATTAATATTTTAAACTTTTTTTTTTATATATAAAATATGAAATAAATTATTTAGGTTATATTTCTGATTTTAATTCCAAATTGTAATCCTCTAATATTCTTGTTAAAACCAAAGGACCCCTTAAAGGTTGAGATATTGAGTTTTCTTAATTCAAACAATTTTGTAGGATTCGTTTGTATATATAATCTTTCATTCTTAGTTATAAAAAAAGTACTACACTTTTAGTCCAATTAATGAAATTTTCAAATTTTCTAGCTCATTGTCATGGAAATTATTCACTTTTTCATATTTTTCCGCATTTTATTTGAGAATTAATGCTTAATTACGAAAAATTTCAAATACAACTTCAAATTGTTTTTGAAATTTGAAAAAAAAATAAATCCAAAACCCTATTTTCAAAAGCCAAGAAGGAGAGGAGACAATGTTTTATTTGAAGTTTGTCAATATTAAGTATAAATTAATATTTTTAAAAATCATATATTTATATATATAAAAAAAATCATAGGCCAGACTACGTGGCGTCATCAGAAATCAGATTTTCTTTTTAATTTATTTATTTTTAAAATTACCCTTCCATTTTCATGAAAAGTTGTTACAATTATGAAAAGTTATAACTTTTTTGAAAAATTGTAACTTTTAAGAAGAGTTGTGATTTTTGTGAAAAACTCGTACTTTTATGAAAAGTTGTGACCATTCTAAAGGATTGTAACTTTTTCAAATAGTTGTAACCTTTACAATAAGACACAATAAATAATTGTTCACACTACCGTATGTTTTCTATAAATAAAGGAATTTATTGTCACTATAATTTGTAGGTTTTTTCCCCATTACATGATAGTCAAATTCAAATACATTAATTGAGTTTTTTATGAAGTTTGTTTCATTCTTGAATGTTTTTATGTAGCTTAAACTTTACTATAAGTCACAGTGATTAATCTAACTATGATAATTTCTTTTTTCTAATGTGATAATCTTTTTTTTAACTATGTTAAAATTTCAGCAAGGATGACTGAAAATTGATTTCTCTTTTGTCCCTTTCTACAGGCTTATTCATATAAACAAAGGAAATTGATTTCAATTGGAATGCTACATTACTACTCTTGGACTTCTTAGTGCACAACGCATACACTGCTAAATTGTTAATGATTGAATTCATTATATTTGGTTCTTTAGTTAACAAATCTTTTATTTTTATTGTAATTATTTGTATTTTTTTTGGAATTCAAATACATTAATTAAGCTTTCTCAAAGTTTTCTTCCTCCTATTTCATGAAGTTTAATTTTTTACTTTAAATCATAGTGATGCATGTCTCTATTGCGACTTCTTTTTGCTGTCTTGGTGACTTTTTTTTTTTTAATTATGTTCAAAATTCAAGTAAGGAAGATTGAAAATTTATCTTTGTTGCTTTCAACATGTTCTCTTCATATACTTTTTGAGAAAATTGCTTGTGGGTTGTGCTATATTTGATAGCAGCAACAACAAATATTTGATAACTAATACGAATTCAATGATAAAGCTTGTTAAAAAGAATCAAAATTGTTGCTTTCTTGCTTGCCACAGTTAGTATATTATATTGATTATTTTTTAACGTACAAACATTTTGTATGTCATTGCACTATTTCTAGAATATTTGTATAGCCACATTTTTTATTGCAAGTTAACTAATTATTCATATTTCTTTTTCTCTTATTTTTGAGCCGAATAAGATATTAAATTTTGCTGAAACTAACAAATGTCTAAAATACACTATAACAAAAATATTTTTTATCCGCAATAAATATGTACATTCACAAAGAGTGCTACAACATTTACCGACATTAATTAATTGCTATTTAATTCAATGTTTCTATAGACTTTAGGGACATTTATACAGAGTATTAAATGCCTCTGAAAATACATATTTAACGATAATTAAGCTATTAATTATCATGAAAGATCATTTTTTTTGTAGTGATAACTCATTTTTTTAATTAAGTTTTTAAATTTTGATAAAGAAGAAATAACTCTTTCTTTTTTATTCTTTCAATTCAATTAAATTGCGAACTGTAAACTTTGATACAACTCCAAAAGATTATATTTTTGAAAACTATATTAAAAACATGCCCTTTTCTTCTTGATTGTTAGGAAAATAAGGTCTTTTTATAATAATTTTTGATATTTGTGTGTTCAAGTGCTCACAAAATTATGTTGTGAGATTTTAATATGTTATGTGTCAAAAATTTGATTTGCTATATCTCTTGTGAACATTCAGATGTTACCTACATCTTGGTTGATAATTGCATTAATTTTTTGTAATTATATACTATAACCATAACCAAAACTATGCTTTAATCCAAATAAGTTGGGCCGGCGATATAAAATCTTAAAAATAGTAGTGACTATTTTAAAAAAATATTTATGATAATAACAATTTTATGTCATTTTGAGCACATATTTGACATGACATACAATAATAAAAAAGAGATTGATTGAGGTTCATAAAAAAAGAGTCCTTTTAGCTTTTAATCTTAAAAACAAGCTTAAATATTGACATATTGCTATCTTGTTCTTCTTTCTTTAAAAAATTATTATCAAAAGAAATTCTCCAAAACAATAATAATAATAACAATGCAAGATTTCTAGCGGTATAAATGGAGTCGCATAATTGCAAGAATAGATATCTAAAACTCTATTCATTTTCAAAGTTCTTAACTTACAAGTAAAACAATAAATTTATTAAAATTTACTCGATTAAAATAATTATCTCAAATTAAATATCAATTCTAATAGAAACAAACTAATCATCTTACATTTAAATTACAATTTTTCTGTGTTATAGCAACATAAATAAATATCTTTTTCTCGTGTTTGATCATATGTCTTTACCTTGATATTTTTTCCCCCTTTACTCAAGGTAATTAAATTGATCATAATTATTATAAATCCATCACAATCTTGACGTAGACTACACTAAATTATCATTTTAAATCATGCATATTTGAATTCTAATTATGAATAATCAACATTTCAAAAAGAAACAAATCAAACTTTAATATTTAATATCAAGTATTTCGGTGTCACTTTTAGATTCTTCTATGCTTAATTAATGAGATGTCTTTTAAGTTGCGATTTTGTGAAAGAAAAATATCAAAGGCATTTACGTAAAATATACAAAAGATAAAAAAAATACACATTCAAAAATATAATCTAAACAAATATTATGCACATACTTATTTAAAAAAATAATATTTATAAAAATACATACGGTAGTAAAAGGTAATTTTATAGATTTGTACCAGCAGAAATATTTTATTTTATTTGAATAATTATGTTAATAATGACATAAATAATTTTTCTAATAGAACTAGAGAAAATAAATTTAACTAACATTTTACATTTATTTCGTCCTTATACTTACACTCTCTCTCACTCATTATTCTTCACATTTATACCATACTCCCTTCCTTTAAAAAAAAAGATCTAGTTTGACTTGAAACGAAATTAAAGAAAAGAAAGAAAACTTTTTAATCTTGTATTTTTAAATTAAAGTTATGTCAAATATATTAAAATGCCCTTTAATCTTGTGATTTTAAACATAAGATAAAATTAGAGTGTGATAAAAAAGGAAAGATCATTCTTCTTAAAACAAATTGAAAAGAAAATAGGATATTTTTTTTGAGACGTAGGAAATAGTATGTTTAGACTTTAGATTATGCTCAAATTCTTTTAAGATAATGTCTATTTTCTACTTATATCAAATATACAAAAAATAAACCCATTTTTTTCTTTTTCGATTTAAGAAAATATTAAATAATAGAAAAAGTGGAATATCATCAACTAAACAAAAGATCAAATTTATATTCTATTATTAAACTCAAATTCAGTAGGAAAAGATCACTTAGATTTTTTTGGGATTTGAGGATATGAGCTAAATCCAAAAAAGAGTCTAACCATGGCAGCAACAGCTCTTCTCTCATCTCCTCCATTGCCTTCTTCATCTAATCATTCTATCCTTTCAACTCCCTTAAAGTATTCCTCTTTCTTTTCATACTATTTTCTTTATCTCTTCTTTACTCTAACAAAAAGATTTCATTTTTGTTTTGTTTCTTTTAGAAAGCAGAGCAAGATTCTGTGGAACCAAAAAAAATGTGGGAAATTCAGGGTATGTTCAGAGTTTTGCAAAGAACCCACTTCCCAATATGGGGTTTCCAGAAGAGACTTGACCTTCATTGCTCTTTCCTCTTCACTGTCTCTAATTTTCCCATTTTCAGGTAAAAAACTGTAAAATTTGCATTTTTGGGTGTCTTTGAGTATAATTTCAATTTGAGGGTGGGGTTTTGTTTCTGTGAATTTATTTTTACCTTATCTCTGCTGCTGTTTCAGTATTTTAATGCTGGTGATAAGATGAATATCATCATTGTCTATTTTTACTTTATCTCTGCTGCTGTTTCAGTGTTGTAATGTTAGTGATAAGATGAATATCAGCATTGCCTATTTTACCTTATCTCTGCTGCTGTTTCAGTTTTGTAATGTTAGTGATAAGATGAATATCAGCATTGTCATTTGAAGTGACTTGTTAGTTATTTACATTATTGAACTCTCTCCCTGTCCCAATAAGTTAAACCCTTTCGGAGGTAGCTAGATTTACTAGTAAAATGGATTAGGTCATACAAAATATATACTCTCTTTCTGTCCATTTTTACTTGTCCACTATTGACTTGAGTTACTTCACATAACCCTCAAGGAACAACAAATGGAATGTCAATCTTACTGTATCACCCTTTGACTAATAGTTATAATAAGCGATAAATTATCTCGCAGTTTTCCAAATTGGACAAGTAAAAGTGGATATCTGTTTCTAGTATAGTGGACGAGTAAAAGACTAAAAGCGGATGGAACGACTAGTTGACTCCCAATATAGTGAGTGTCAGACAAATGATAAAGATTAGTGACATGTCAAAGTGTCTAGTATATGATTTTATGTATGAGTATAGTTGAATTGTTATTCATATACTTAGCTTAACGTAGAGACCCCTGTTTCAAGGGAAAATATTGTTATATTGTATTGCAGCTTTCTAATCGTTTTTAGGTTCAGTGAAGAGAGACTTTCTTGTCTATATGCAGGTTTTACTGCTGAAGAAGAGTTGAAAATGGGTTCGTCTGTTGATGACATAAATGCCTATTCCTACTTGTATCCTATTGAAATACCATCTAAGAAGTTCGCCTTCAAATGGTAAGCAATAGCTTTGTTACTAGGTCCTTGTCTGCTTTCCATTTGTCATGTTTCTTTGAAATTGAAAAAAGAAAAGAAAACCATTTAGCCGGCGTTTCTGGTTTGTTATGTAATTTTATACTCAGAAACAATGGGCGTGATAATTTTAGACCAAAGAAGCCTAGACCTTTGAAATTCTAATGTATTTGTCATCAAACTTTGGAAGAAAAAACAAGATGCTAAGTAAACATTCAAATCCTTCTGTACATTTGAACAGTCCCAGAGGACTTTGGGGATACACTCTACTGAAATCCTATCCCTGAATTCAGCTTTAAAGATCTCATCACACAAGTGACTACTTCCAGTTCTTTTCACTTGCCAAAAAAATCTGTATCCATTTGATGTCCAAATCCGCTTCTGTTCTGTATAGTACGTTTTCCATGGACACAGTATCTGCAGTTCACTTAACAACCATTTGGATTTGTTTGTTCTTGTGGTTTTATTTAATACTATGCAAATGAGCTGTCCACATAATTTTCACCATTTGAAAGAAAACCTCTATTTTCATGCACTGCATCCTTAATTGTAGGAACCTCACTCTTTTATCTATTTGAAGGGTGGAAACCAGAAAATCGGAGCGGTATTCATCGGCTGCGCCACTATCACGTAAGTCGGTGTAGCTTGTCTCCCGTTTCCAAAAAGGAGATACTAAAAATATACTATAATTATTTGGTATTCTGGTTGGATGTTAGGGAAGTCACTGAACTAGGTAAAAGTCCTAACCATGCGGCAAGTGTCTGTGAGCACCACTGCCCTATTATAGTCTACTTAGACATACTTCAGTTATCCCAAAAAAGGAAAAAGAACACCCGAGTCACAACCTTTAAAAATATGTTTTTTATCTTTGATTTAATGTTTTTTTTTCATGTGTTGACATATCATGCAGCTGATGCACGCCTTCGCATTGTGTCTGAACGAGTTGACATCATTGATAATCTCATCATTTCTGTTTCGGTAATTGGTCTTCTCCTGAATTGATTCTTGTTAATTTAGACCTTGTTTCCGTTCTTTCTTTGAGACTTGATGCAATATGTTTGTTCAGATAGGTCCTCCCAACTCACAGTTCTTGAAATCAAAGGAGAAAAGTACATGGAGTGCAAAGGATGTTGCTGATTCTGTTTTGTCTGATAAATCTGCTTTGGTAATTTACTCTATATTCCTTCTCCAAAATTGACTCTATGTCTCTAGAGGCAGCAAATACATAATTGAGTCTAGCACGTATATGATGTGGTTTTTGGTTTGCATATCAACCCCCAGCTGTTTGTTAGAATATGCTTTACTAGTTTATCAGATTTTCAGCTTCTTCTTCTTCTTTGCCAATACAATATGTAACGTACAGATTGTTCGGTTTGAGAATAAATGATACTCCCTCTGTCACAATTTATACACATTTCTACGGTTAGTAACAATTTAACTTCAAAATATCCATTTTACCCTTAATGAAATGATTTATAGCCACACAAACATCTATCACTTATTTAAGACCACATGTTTCAAAAGTATTTCTTTCTTTCTTCAATTCGGTGCCAAGTCAAACTAATTCATACAAATTGGGATGGGAGGGAGTAGCAATTTTGAACTGATAACCTAGCGAAACCAAATTAGTTGTTCATGAATCACAAAATTTCTCGTGAGAGATTTGGTTACATAAACTCTTATGCAGATGGCACATTGGTTGGATCATTATTCATTGCATATATTCTTCCACCGACTGCCTTATAGAACTTCCTGAAGTGCAGAGCCCATTCTTTATCCTTTTCTTTTGCATGACTTTCAAGATAAATCCATCATGATATCTGTGTGAGGTAACATTTTCATATGTTTCTACAGCGTGTAACCTCAACACAGCGATTGGCAGAAAGTTCACTTCTTGATGCACATGCTTCTGAAGTGAGTATCTTTTCACTTATGTGTAACTGTGTTATACATTTTCATGAATTATCATTTATGAGTTCTTGGGCCTACTTTGTGTTCGACATGCACTCAGTCAACTGTTCTCTTTTATAACAAATTAGATTGATGGTGAGTCCTATTGGTACTATGAATACCTTGTTCGGAAATCACCAACGAAAGCAGCAGTAAGTTTCCTCTTTAATTTTAAAAAATCTAATCCTAAATGATTTTCTACAATTCTCATATTTCACGTTGTAATATGCAGGCTCTAGAACCGAATCTTTTCCGCCACTATGTTGCTTCAACAGCTGAACGAGATGGTAAAATTGACTTTTAGTTAGTGATTATCTTATTTTACTTTTTGCACGCATAATTTTTTGGTGAAAATAGAAGTGTATTTTGTTAATAGGAGGTACTTTTTCCTTTTGGGATGTAACTATGGTATTTAAAATCATAAACTTGCTAGTTTCTCCTTTAGCTAGTTAATGCAATTTTTATGAAATAACTGTTTCATTAGCTTAGCATTCTTCAGGTGGAAAAGTTCATCTTATGTGTTAACTTATTAGTCATGATTTAGAGTGCTCCCTCCGTTTATTTCATGTAAACCTATTTGACTTGGCGGAGTTCATGAAAGAACGAAAGACATACATCTGACTTGTGGTCTTATACATTCCATGGCATAAATCATGTTATTAAGGGTAAACTAAGAACTCGAAAATTAAATTGTTTCTAAATATATAAAAGTGCCATTCTTCTAGAAACATACTAAAAGGAGAATGTAAAAAAGAGTGTCACATAAAAGGGAACAATGGGTACTAAAAATCTATTCCTTTTGGTTTGGTTTGTAAGCAAGTTATACTGGGACTATAATATGAGGATTGAATAATGACGGGATTCCTAGTGAATATACTTTTATTGATAGAATCTACAATAGGGAACAAGGTAGGTAGCGAGACGAGAAGTGGTTGGTGCAGATAATAGGAACAAATTTGTGCGATATTTCAGAATTTCCAAGTAAAAAAGGAAATATGTATCTATTTTGATCAGTCATGAATGCATGCAGAGAACATAAGAGAGCAAAGGAGGGGGCCGGATACTTAGAATCTCAACAAGTTAACTAAATCTATCAGTATAAATAAATGTGAGATCCCTATAGGCCATAGGGATAGATGTTCTGATGCTGCACCAGGAGGAGAAGCAGCCATCTGATGGTGTTTCCTTCCGCAAATGTGCGGTTTGTTCCGCCACTTGTCCCTTTACCTCCATCTTCTCCCCTACAGAGGTCTTCCCCGCTATCTTTGCACCGGTGTACTGACACCCACCCCGGTTCCTTCTGTCCCATCTGTTTCGATGTCTTCCTCCACAATCCTCCTCCGCCTCACCTCCGTTTTCTATGCTTAAAATGCCCCTCTATCTCACACCTCTCGTGCGTCCCTGATGTTGCTTCCTCCTTCCCTGGTTATGTGTGCCCTCATTGTTCTGACCCTAATTTCACTTTCTTCTATGTTACTCCCAATCATGCTAATAACACCGTTGAAACCAAGCCCCATTTGTCTAAACAGTTGGTCGCCGCTGCTACCAGTGCTTCTGAGTCTATCCGCAATACCGCCGTTATGGCCAGGTTTAATGCCGACATTAGGGTCAAGGAAGCTCTGTCAGCTAAGGCCGAAGCTGCCCAGGTTTTGTGTAGGCTAAAGAATCGGCTGGACAACCAAGATCAACTGCTTGGTTCCATATCAGATGACGATACAGGGGAAAACAGGATACATGGAGCAAAAGGATGCTTGTCTCAATCTTCAGATGCAGATGATTGCGATACCCTTGATGATTAGCTTGAGTAGTTGCAATTCTAAAACAATGCTATATAAGGTTTTTATTTTTCATTTTCTGTTGTGTGGCTGCTGGCATCTTGCAAATACACTCTATTTTTGAATGCTCGGTTATTTGGGGGCTGTTCTTTGGTGAATAGAGGAATTGGAATTATTCATTCAACTGTATCTAGCTTACTGTTAATGCCTCTCTTTCATTCTACATTTTCAGTGTCTTGAGTTTTATTAGTTGCCATTTTTTCTTCACTGCCACTTTTCCTTTTCATACTACTTTGTTTTGCTTCACTTGAGCTGAGGGTATTCCGAAAACAACTTCTCTTCCTCCACGAGGTAGGGGTAAGGTCTGCGTACACTCTAACCTCTCCAAACCTCACTTTGTGTTTTTTCACTAGTATGTTGTTGTTATTGTTTGGTATGAGCAATATCTACTTGGATAAACTTTTATTTCCAATTTTAATCTTGGTTTTCTTAACAGACTTTGGAAGAACAGTTTGGAGATGGGCAAATGTGTCCTTTTGTTATTTTATCCCGGGGTTGTTACTGATTTGGGGATGTTATCCCACATAGAGTGGGATATAAATAATACCACAATTGTGGTATAAACAATCGCAGAATTAGAAGTTCTACCAAATGCGGGATAAATTAATTCTAGATTTTATCCGGGGATTGTAATCACTTATCTTTGTAACCAAACAACCCTTTAAGATTTTCAGTTGATAGTCAAGAAGTTCTACCAAATGCGGGATAAATTAATTTCAGATTTTATCCTGGGATGTAATCACTTATCTTTGTAACCAAACAACCCTTTAAGATTTTCAGTTGATAGTCAAGAAGGGTTTTAAAAGGTGGCATACAAAAGGTGTTTATTTTCTGGTTTGATCTGGCTTCTTGGACATGACTGTTCATTATTCCTCAAGCATATATTGTTGGGTTGGTACGAGGGTAATTATGACTTCATTGCATTATACATACTATTCTTGCTTTAATGTTTACAGATTTTTGGTCTTTGGCCAAGAATAAAAGAATGTAAAAACATATTGACGACAATGACCAATCTTTTGGGTGTACATATTTCTGCTAACACACATGAATTTATGAGGTGCATATCTTATATCTTGAATTAAAAATATTAAGAATATGTTGTCATTCTGGTCTTAAAACTGTTTTCTATATTTACTTTGTCTAATAAACAATTGATAAAGCTAATAGAGTCTTTTTCAATAGTTCAGAAATATAAATGTATGTAATAAATTCAAGGTATGTTGCACCTTTAACCAAAGTGATGTGCTTTAGTAATTGCATCAGCATATTCCTACATAAGATATTGACGTAGTAATTAGAAGATGCGTCTTAGTAATTGCATCATCATTTTTTCTTGATGACTGAGAAATCGGTCTGGGCCCAACCCTTAGAACCAATTGAAGCCTTCAAAATTTGCAATAATGGGTCCGCTCCTCTACCCTTCTCCAGTTAAATACTGGGCTTAGTTCGGGTGATGCAGGTATCGAACCTAGACCTATGTTACAAGTCTCTCAACCTTTGCCTCTTGAACCATGTTCTTGGGGTGCATCAGCATATTCATATATTGACATAGTAACCTGACAACTGACAAGCTTATATTGAAATACATTTCAGTAGGTTTGCTGGTTAGCTTATTGGAGAATGCTTGTCATTTCAGGTTATTTGTATACTCTTAGTGCTTCCACTCTTGGCAAGCAATGGGAAAAAGTAAGTGGTTCTATCTTGTGATTTTCCTTTAGAAATTTATCAAGAACTTATAATATCACATAATGGTTATATTACTTAATTGTACATTACTCCAACATCTACCTTTACATACTTGATAGCATTACAAATATTTGCTCCTTTCTGTATATCATTGAAAATGCTGAAGAAATATAAGAAGTTCAGCTGGTGATTAGACCACAATGTTTGAGTCATCAAGGGCACAGTGCAATCTATAGATATTGTTTGTACGTTCCCTTACAAGATCCAATGAAAGACATTTTTCTAGTTGTGATGATCTATATCACTGAAGCCTTCTTGTTTTACAGGATCAGTTTATTGTTTCTTTAAACAACATTGATGCATAAGTTTCTTTTTTTTTTTTTTACATGGAGGCATAAGATTCTATCATAAAGACAGCACTTCAGTGCAGTAAACTCCCAATATGCTCTGGGCAAGGGCCAAACCACATTGAGTCTATTATCCTTGTTGGTGTTTCTCAACGTTGGACCTCTGTGCTATATTATTCATGCTCGACTTGTCCGATCTCCCATTGGTTGAATGAATGAGTTGTGATCTCCTTATATATAGTCTTGGACATTTCTTTCCTCGTGAGCTAACATTTGGGGATGTATAGGCTCAAAGTTTATTTGTTAACACACACGCAAAGAGAAGGCAATAGATTCTGACCTCTGAATTAAAATTCTACATATCTTTTTCACTGCACACTTTTGGCATGACAAGGTTTTGCTATATGCAACAATTAAAATCCCATCTTAGAAAATTCCTCTCACCTTTTTCTTTTCCGCCCCTCTGACCCCCTCCAATATTTATGCTATGCTGTGAAATTCATTACATAGTTCTTATTCTGCAGATGGGACCCTCCTTGGAAAAGACCGTGGCATCTTTCCGACTTCTTCCTCCTACAGAAAGCTATGTCCCTCCGTACAAGGATCCGTGGAGGTTTTGGTGATTGCATTTCAAGGTGTGGTTTAGGATTAACATTTTGTCTCCAGATAGCAAGGAGTCAGAGATCCAAGTATGGTTAGCAAATGAGCAACAACATTGCAATTCTTTTTTATTTGATAAGGAAAAATTAGTATCAAGCTGAGTTCGAACTTGCAACCAGACGTGTGCTAAGCAATATTGACATGATCTTTGTGTCAAATGCCAATGCAGCTGCTATACGTTTGTGAGACAACATTGTAATTTTTGGTCCAGTGATTACTACAAGTTCTTTTAGGGTCTCTTTGCTTGACAATAGATCATCTCCAGGCTTGAATTTTCTGCAGAATGCAGCAGCAGTTTGGATGGGAAAACCTGTTCTATGTAATCGTTATGTTTCTCTTATATGAACAGTATTTTTTGAAAAAAATGAACTCTTGTGTGCTTGAATGCAATTTTCTTCAGTCTGCTTTGGCAAAGCCACTCCTGCTATTAGTTTCAGCAAAACAAATGAAGCACATCTCTAAAAACTTTTTAAGGGAAGGGGTTAATGTTTCTATTTAACAGACGTAGTAACTAACAAGAACTTATTGAATCCATCGCTTGGGCTCATAATAAATTAGAAGTTGCTCTTGCTATTGAGCCGATAGCCAGTAGTTTGGGATGGTGGTTGATATAGTTCACTAATCTAAATTACTTGTGAGTTTACTATGTATGCATATCATGGAACACATTGTAAGCACGTAATTTATGCGCTAACGGAGACACCAGAAGTGCTTATAACCAAAATTGTCTAAAAAGTTCACTAATTTATCTTGAAAATACATTTCATTACCCCTCAATTCAACTTCAATTGTTTGGTAGTCTTCTTGTAAGGATACTTTCTAATAAATATCTCAAAGAGCACTTTTAAAATAAATTTTGCATCATTATTAGTTTCAGCTTTTTAGTTTATAAAATTAATTTTTATGCTTAAAATGCTCTTTCATAAGCAGCTTTCAATTAATAAAGTCAGACGTGCTCCTACTTTTGTATGCAAATCATGCCAGCAAGTATTTCAATTATGTCTGAAAATTATTTGATTTCATGGATACTAGTGATATAATTATATGTGAATTTAGTTTAGATTTCAAATTTCAATCACTTTTACCTTTGTGTATTAAAATAGTTAGCAAGCCCAAATTATATCAGCATACATACAAGCTTAATTTGAAGTTGATATTCTAATTTTATGGATGCTTTAAAATGTATATAATAAAGTTTACATGAAGCATTCTTGTCGGTTACAGTGACTGTTAAATTCAAACAGAGGAATTATTCTCATTCATAGTGACAGCAAAAACAGAAGAGGGGGGCTATTGTCTTGGGTGCAACTACTTTTCTTGAACCCAAAGTTCTGCGCTCACCAGAAAATAAGGGATCAGTAAAGAGATGCAGCTGTTTACATCCTTCAACTAAAAATACCTAGAGATGAACAAACATATAACAGTAAACTTGCATATATTTGAACCAAGAGTGTAATAATAACACCTATAAACATGCTCATTTATTCCTTCTTTTGAGCAAAGAATAATGGAATTTACAACTAATTAACGCCATCCAGGTGCAGCAATGAGGTCTTCTTTCCTAGTTCTCTGGTGGTTACAGGTAGAGGATGGTTATGGGGGGGTTGTTCTAGACACCTAGGCTACTATAGAAAGAATAAATATATATACACTGTCGAAAACCTTATCTTAGTCTTGCGATGTTGTTGAATATTCGAATAGAAGACGTTTGGATGGAGTAGACTGTAAAAGCACCCGGAGCCGGCTTGTCAGCTGATATATCAAGGTCCATTGCATTGCCATCTCAGAATCCTTCATCTGCCTTACGACAGAGGCCTGAAAAACAGAGATGAAAAGCCTTTGGTTTCTGATAAATGGGCAAGAAATAATCAAACATAAAACTGCAGTATGACTAGATGGAAAGTTGCAGATAAATGGTGTCTAGCACTGAGCTATACTGTTCTCTGTTCCTTTGTCGCTACTCTGTAAAATAAACACTAACATTTACTAGGTGGTATAATTCAACTGGAAATGACATTGGCCCAACAATTTTCTGATACATCATCCGTGGAGGTTTACTGAATACACAGTGCATTTTTCTTGATAAGTGTACAAGAACATAACTCACCAAATTATGCAAGCAGGTTAAAAGGGGCAGGGCTACAAACACCTATTTGACCTATCTAATGGCATGGAATCTAACCACTTTGACACGTTTTTTCTCTCTATGAAGTATAATAGGCTTGTTTTTTTATTTTAATATAGATGATGTAGTACTATGTATAAAAATACAGTACAAGACATGGAACAATTTTGGCTACCGTAAAATATTTCTAAGAAACAAAGACAAGGACATGGACATGGACAGGGTTTTCTCAATTGCATCGTTTTGAAGGTTGAGTATTCTCTGTATCCATTGCTTACTCAATGGAAAAAAGAATTTGTAGTTTTTCCAAGACAGGTTATGCTAGGGCTGACACAACTGCACTTCACAGAAAACAAATCACACCAAAATTCTCTTCCAAATCTTCATATTTTCTGACAAAATTGAGCATATTCACAATCTCCCATGACAAGTGCTAGTCAACTCTGGCATAATATCATGGATTTAATATTCAATAGTAATCTTTTTTCTGTTATTAATTAAATTTTATAAACTGAGAATTAAGGGTTGAATGTCGCCCACTAAAATGAGAGCGGTAAGCATTAAGCAAACACTGAAATGGGTTGTGACTGTAGAACGTTTCTCCCTGTTGTATCTACTTCACAGTCCAACAATAGCATTTGCTCTGAATGGAAGATGATTCTTTGAACTATGTTTTTTCCTAGGTAAGGAAGGATAAAGGAGAGAGATATGGACTGCATTACTTCACTTGGGGCCCGTTTCGAAGAATAATGTGGAATTGGGTGTCATTACACAGTTTTGGTCATTGACGAAAAGCAATTACACTCATGATGGACTCTGGTGGACAGTTGTAATAGGATGATCAGAAGACAGTTGTGGAGTGAACTGGTGGCTAGCAGAAACAATGGGGAGGGCCCCTTCAATGTCACTAGATTTGCGGCAGCAAGGGCAAACTGCCATAGATTCTCAGGAGCAGTGTCTGAATTCTCTGAGACTATTAATGACCTGGAGCTAGATGATCCTCCTTTATTTGGAGGACCATACACTTGAAAAGGGGGGGGGGGGTGATCATAAAAGTGCCTCTAGGATTGACAGATTATAGTACTCAGCTGACTAGGGGAACTGTTTCCTACTGATCAAGCAGTCTTTGTTACCTAGAATTGATCAAATCATAATCCTGCTTCTAACATGTGGAGACTGGAATTACAAGAAGACCTACTTCAAATTTGAAAATTAGTAGCTAGAGGTAGAAGGATTCAAAAGAAGATTTGGCATGGTGGTTGGCCTTCCCTAACAGGGGCAGACAAGCCTTCATTCTAGCAAGCAATTAAAACTCCTTAAGAAGTAACAGGGGAGACTGGAAACAGAAAAAAGAAGTGACCCTACAACAGTTGAAATCTTGGGAAGCAATACAGGAGAACAAGAGCCTGATGAGTTAGTCCAGAAAACTCACTTCGCTGTGGAATTTGAAGAAATAGCAATAAAGGAGGAAATTGCCTGGAGACAAAGATCAAAAGTTCAATGGTTGAAGGATGGGGACAAGAACACCAGGGTCTTCCCACAAGTTTGCAAATGCTCATAAAAGGTACAACTCCATAGATGCATTGGAAGTCGAAGGATCCATCACTAAAATGCCTTCAATTAAAAATGCAATTCAAAGTTTCTACCAGACAAAGAAACAAAAGGATGGAGACCTGTGATCTCAATCTCCAAGGAATAAGAGTGATCTCTACTAAGACTGGTCAACGGCGTACCGATACCGTTCCGGTTCGGTTGCCTAGGGGACAGGACGAGATAGTCTGAACCGGTACACGGAACGGGACGGAACCGTGGTTTCGTACCGGTTCATCCCGGTTACGGTCCGGTCCGGTCCGATTCCGATCCGATTTACTTAATATATATTAATTTTTTTATATTTTATATAATTTATATTTATATTTTCTATAAATTATATTTTATATTTTATGTAATTTCTATATATTTTATATTTATATTTTTTAATTTTTGTAATTGTTTTATCCTTATTTCAATTTAATTTTTTTAAAATTACAAATTTTATTTATTTAATATTCACAAGACACAAGTTATAAATTTAACTTATAAAATAAATATTAATGAATATAAGTACTAACTTATAAAGTATAAACTTCAAAAGATTTAAATTTTGATTAACAACAAAAAAAAAATTAATAAAATATCCTTAAAATAAACTTAAGTAAAAAATTATAGTATAAATTTAAAAACTATTAATTTATACTTAAAAAAATAAAAAAAATAATAATATTTTCGTAATCCCAAAAAATATCGTCCCGTTCCATCCCGGTCCATTCCGGTTCCATCCCGGTATATAGTGGAACGGGACGGAACCGATTATTCATCCTGGTAAATCCGGTCCGGTTCATCCCGGTACCCGTCAACATACCGGTCAACAGGTTCTGTTCCGGTCCGGTGAACCGGTTCCGGTCCGTTGACCAGTCTTAATCTCTACAAAGATCAGGAGTGGTTACAAAGGAGTTTTGAGGAAGAGGAAGTGTGGAGGAGCATCAAGTCTTGTGCAGTTGATAAGGCTCCAGGCCCAAATGGCTTCATACTAAACTTCTTTCAGACATTTTGGAATCAGGTCAAGGAGGACATCGTGGGAACATTGCAATATTGAGTCTTGATGCCACCTTTGTGGCCCTTAATCCAAAGAAGGCTGGAGCAGTAGAGTTAAGAGACTTTAGGCCTATTAGCCTAATCTCTGGGGTGTAACAGATAATTGCCAAAGTTCTAACAGAAAGAATGAAGAGAGAAATGGACAGTCTGGTAAACAAACACCAAATGGCTTTCACAAAAGGACTATAGATGCAATTTTAATTGCAAGTATACTCAAGATCTAGAGGGGAGGTGGCTGGCCTGATGTGCAAATTGGACCTGGAAAAGCCTATGGTCATATTAATTGGGATTAGAGGCTATCTTCTAAACACTCTCATACATATGGGTTTTAGGGACAAATGGTTGAAATGGATAGACTTTGTATCAAAACTGTTAGGTTCTCCATTCTGGACTATTGCCATCCTCCTGGTTTTTTTTCACTCAGATAAGGGGAGGTGGGTGAGGGGATCTGGAGATTTGCACTTGCTATATGCAGATGATGCTATTTTATTTTGTGAATCTAGAGTGGAACAAGCTACATAGAGTCTTGCTAGTAGTGTTTAAAGTTGTATCTGGGTTAAGAGTGAACGGGAGGAAGAACAATATGTATCCTGTCAAAGAAGTGTTCTAACATTCAGACCTTTGCTAGCATTCTTGGGAAATTGA